CTGAGGGGTGGTCCTGAGGCGAGGAGGAGCGCTGGTTCGGTGGAGCTTGTTGTGGTGGTGGAAAGGAAACACCTCGCCCCTTATCGTAGCACCTTGGAAGAACTGAAAATTTTCAGGTCCCTAGAAGTACCTCTGAAAACAGCTGTACAAACCCCCAAAGCTTCGGACAGTACACTCTTCACACTGGAAGCTGACTTTTACCTTAACAAAGAGTTTAAAACTCAAGTAATTGGCTGGGATCCTGAGTAAGCAGCGCAAAAAGAGTCAGACTATATTATCTTACTTTGGTGACAAAGAAGATCAAAACATACAACCAGAAGAAGACAACAAAGCCAAAGCTCCTACATCCAAAGCCTCCAAGAAAAATATGAATCAGTCCCAGGCCTTGGAAGAGCTTAAAAGGGATTTTGAGAAGCAAGTAAGAGAAGCAGAGGAAAAACTGAGAGTGATGCAAGAAAATCATGAAAAACAAGTCAACAGCTTGCTAAAGGAGACCCAAAAAAAAATACTGAAGAAAATAACACCTTAAAAAATAGCCTAACCCAAATGGCAAAAGAGGTCCAAAAAGCCAATGAAGGAAAAAATGCCCTAAAAAGCAAAATTGGCCAAATGGAAAAGGAAGTCCAAAAGATTACTGAAGAAAATACTTCCTTAAAAATTAGAATAGAGCAGTTGGAAGCTAGTGACTTTATGAGAAATCAAGACACTGTAAAACAAATCCAAAAGAATGAAAAATTAGAAAACAAAGTGAAATATCTCATTGGAAAAACAACTGACCTGGAAAATAGATCCAGGAGAGAGAATTTAAAAATTATTGGACTATCTGAAAGCCATGATCAAAAAGAGTCTAGACATCATCTTTCAAGAAACGATCAAGGAAAACTGTCCTGATATTTTAGAACCAGAGGGCAAAACAGAAATTGAAAGAATCCACCAATCTCCTCCTGAAAGAGATCCCCAAAGGAAAACTCCTAGGAATATTGTAGCCAAATTCCAGAGTTTCCAGGTCAAGGAGAAAATACTACAAGCAGCCAGAAAGAAGCAATTCAAGTATTGTGGAAACACAGTCAGGATAATACAAGATTTAGCTGCTTCTACATTAAAGGACCGCAGGGCATGGAATATAATAATCCGGAGGGCAAAGAAGACAGGATTACAACCAAGAATCACCTACCCAGCAAAACTGAGTATAATCCTTCAGGGGAAAAAAATGGTCATTCAGTGAAATAGAGGACTTCCAAGCATTCTTGATGAAAAGACCAGAGTTGAATAGAAAATCTGATTTTCAAATACAAGACTCGAGTGGAACATGAAGAGGTAAAAAGGAAAGAGAAAATCATAAGAGACTTATTAAGGTTGAACTGTTTACATTCCTGCATGGAAAGATAATATTTGTAACTCAGGAGACCTTTGTCAGTATTAGGGTAGTTGGAGGGGAAAAAATCATATGTATGTAAATACAGACATAGACAGATAGAGGGCACAGGGTGAGTTGAAAATGAAAGGGGGGTCATATCTGGAGAATAAAATTAAGAGGTGAGAGAGGAATATACTAGGAAAAGGAGAAAGGGAGAGGTATAATGGGGTAAATTATCCCACAAAAAAAAAACAGAAAAGAAAAGGCTCTTACACTGGAGGGGAAACGGGGGAAGGTAAGAGGGAATGAGTGAATCTTATTCTCATAGGATTTGACTTAAGGAGGGAATAACATACACACTCAATTGGGTGTGCAAATCTGTCTTACCCTACAGGAAAACAGGAGGGGGAAGGGAACAAGAGAGTAGGGGAATGATAGAGAGGAAGGCAGATTGGGAAAGGGAGTAATCAGAAGCAAATACTTCTGAGGAGGGACAGGGTCAAAAGAAAGAATAGAATAAATGGGGGGTGGGGGTGGGATAGGATTAAGGGAAATAGAGTTAGTTCTTCACGGCATGTCTACTATGGAAGTGTTTTGCATAACTGCACACATATAACCTATATTTAGTTGCTTGCCTTATCAATGAGGGTGGGTGGGGAGGGAGGAAGGGAGAAAATTTGGAACCCAAAGTTTTAAAAACACATGTTTTTAAAAAAATGTTTTCACATGCAACTGGGAAATAAGAAATACAGGAAATGGGGTGTAGAAATCCATCCTGCCCTACAGGAAAATTCAAGGGGAAGGGGATGAGAGAAGGGGAGGAGAGATAGAAGGGAAAGCAGACTAGGGGAAGGGGTATTTAGAATGCATGCCATCTTGGGGTGGGGGAGGGGCGAGATGGGGTGAAAATTTGGAACTCAAAATCTTGTGGAAGTAAATGTTGAAAACAAAAAAATAAATAAAAATTACCATAAAAAAAAAGAAAAAAGAAAAATACTCCTATTTCCATAATAACTATGGTTTACAAAGTACCTTCCTTACAACAGCCCAAGAGATAAATTGTCAATGATTAAGGAATCCCTGGACTTAGAGCTGGAACGACCCTTAGGGCTCATTTGGCCCAGAGGTCTACGACTTGTCCAAGGCTGAACAGCTCAAAAGGGGGCAGGGCCAGGAGCTGAGGCCAGGTTTCCCATTTCCAAATCCACTGTATTGGCTGTCTTCTTGTTGGAAGAATCATTTGCCATATGCTGGACTCGTGGTAGAGAGGAAGAGTACCAGGATATCAGAATACAGCCAGAACAACCAAAGTGCTCTGGGAGCTGCAGCAGCGACCTCAGGGGACAGGAATTTCGAAGCCTCTTTTCCCATGTACACTGCACAGCGCCAAATACATCATAACTCATGTACTGATAGCACTGTAAAATTTGTTAAGCATATTTCTTCCCCGGATCTTCACGTACAAATAAGGATACTAACAATATGAGAAATTAAATAGATTTGCAAGGGATAATGCAGCTACTAAATGTTGGAGACAAGATTGGAAAGCAGCTGTCTTGCCTCCAAGTCCAGCCCTTTTCATTTCTCATAATAACACAACGTTCTTCAATTTCCTTTCCCGGGGGCAGGAGGACTGAGAACAGAGGGACACCTGGTCCCTGGCAAGAGAGAGGCTAAAACAATAAGAGCTGGGCAGGTGCGTAGTGAGAATGTTTCATAGAATGTCAGCGCTAAAAGGAGCCTCAGCCATCACCTACCACGATGGTCCCGCCCCTCCATCTGTAAAATAAGGTTAACAATACCAACACTGTCAGACAGAGCTATGGAGAAAGCATTTCCACAAACTTTGGAGTGAAATAGAAATGGAAACTTCATCCAGTAGGGTGGCCGTATTGGAATGAAAAGAGCCCTGAGGCCACAAGAGCAGGAAATCCCAGCTCCCACAGTCACTAGCAGTGGGTGACCTTGAGAAAGTCCTCGACCTCTCTGGAAAATGAGGAGCTACAGGAAGACTAGATGGTGCTGACAATCAACGGATCTACCATCTACACAGTCCAGCAAAGGGAGGGGCAGGGAGTGGGGAAGCCCGACGGGGCGCTTAACCACCTCCAAGGAGACATGGAGGGTGTAAGATAATGGGAAAGGGCCTTAGAACATGGAATTCAGTTCACTTCAACAAACACATATCAAGCACCTACTAGGGGCAAGGCACAGTGCTAGGTGAGGGGAATACCAAAACAAAACAATCCCTGCCTATAAAGAACTTTTAGTCTACAAAGGGATATAACACATACACAAGTAAGAAAATATAAGAACAATACAGAGGAATTTTAAGAGGAAAAGACCACAAATGCCTTCCGTCAAAGAAGGCACGGGAGCTGGCCTTTGAAGGAAGCTTGGAATTTTACAAGGCAGAGATAAGGAAGCTATATTTCAGGTCTGGGGAACCTCACTTGTGTGAAGGGACAAAATATAAGGCAGCAGGTAAGTTTGACTGGCATAATGGGAAGCAATAAAACATGACTTAAAAAACAAGTGGGAGCCAGTCCGGAGAGGGGTTTTAAACTCTTCTAGGCTCAGGAATTTGTACATTATTTTAAAGGCAACAGGGAGCCACTGAAGATGTTTGAGTAGGGAGTGTTATGGTCTGAGCTAACTTCTAAGAATACCTACCTGGCAAGTTATATGGAGGATAGACTGAATGAGAGATTGAAGGTGGGGAAAAAAAAATTATTGCTACTAGGCAAGATATGATGAGAGCCTGGAACGGGAGAGAGGGGACAGAAGAAAAAAGATGCCAGAGATGTTGTGGCAGCAGTATAAATAAGACTTGGCAGGTGATTAATCTACGGGAATAAAAGGAAAAGGTATAGACTCCAAGGGTAGAAATCTGGGTGACTGGTGGGATGGTGGTTCCATCATCAAAAATGGAGAAGTTGAGGACACAGAGATTTGGGGAGATGGTATAATCTGAAAAAGAGACCCTAGAGACGACAGTGTCATGGAAGCTAAGGGAGAACAGAATATCTAAGAGAAGGGTACAGTGAACAGTGTCAGAGGTGGGAAGAAAGGGGCTTAGGTCACAGAGTCTCAGGTCAGGAAAGGCCTCAGAACACAATGTCAGAGTGGGGAGGGGCCTTAGAACATGGAATGTCAGCGCTAGGAGGGGCTTGAGAACACAGATTGTTAGAGCTGGGAAGAGCCTTAGAACAGGGAATGTCAGAGCTAGGAGGGGCCTGAGAACACAGATTGTTAGAGCTGGGAAGAGCCTTAGAACAGGGAATGTCAGAACTAGGAGGGGCCTGAGAACACAGATTGTTAGAGTTGGGAAAAGCCTCAGGACACGGAATGTCAGGCCTAGAACAGGGCTTAGAACATGGAATGTCAGGGTTGGGAAGAGTCTTAGAACATGGAATGTCAGGGCTGGGAGGGGCCTCAGAACAGGGGATGTCAGGGTTGGGAAGAGTCTTAGAACAGGGGATGTCAGGGCTGGGAAGGGGCTTAGAACAGGGAATGTCAGGGCTGGGAAGGGGCTTAGAACAGGGGATGTCAGGGCTGGGGGGGGGGGCTCCGTTGACAGATGAGATCACCGAGGCCCAGGCGGGAGGACAGCCGCCCCTCCCCCCGCCCCCGCCGCACTCACGTCCTCCAGCACTTCGTAGTAGGCCTTGATCTGCGCCTCGATCTCATCCTTCCGCCGCACCAGCTCCTGCACATCGCTGATGGTCACCGGGGCCGTCCGGGGACTCTCCTGCGAGGGCCTCTCGTCTCCCGACTCCCTCCTCTCAGACATCTCTGAGCCGCGCTCCAGACGTGACGTAGCAGGAAGAGCGACGACTACGGCTCCTCCTGCGGGCCAAAACTCCTCTACCCGCGACCTGGGACGGGACGAGCGGGAGGGGTAGGAAGGGTATGGGAGGGAGCGGCATGGAGGGAGGAGGCAGGGGCGGGGCGAACCCGTGAGGCGGGGCGTGGCTCTGTTCGGGGGAGGAGCCAGGAAACCCCGCCTCAGCTGCAAAGCCAAGGGGGTTGAGTGTCTCCGCTGGTGCTTTTGTGTTCTGCGTTTTAAAAACCTCTTATTGATCTATGTTATTTTACATCACCTTCATTTACAAATATTTCCCCCTCCATCCTTACCTCCCTCGCGAAGCATCCCATGTAAGAAAGATCAAAGGGGGGAAACAGTCAACCTGACAATGTATGCTCTATTCCACCTCCAAAGTGCCCCACCTCCGGAAAATGGGGGGCGGGGAGATGCATTCTCTTCTTTCTTGGTGGGGGGACTTTAGTTATATTAATTGCACAGGATCCATTTTGATCTTTCCACTTAAACTCGAGAGCCTCTGTGTATATTGTATTGTTTCCCTAGTTCAGCTTACTTCACTGCATCCCTTTCTTCTGAAATCTTCCGTGGCCTCTCTGAATTGTTATTATGCATTGTTTCTTGAGGGGAAGTCATATTGTGTTACATTAATGAACCACGATTTGTTTAGCCAGTCCACCACTTGACGGATGTGTCTCTAGTTCTCTGCAACCACAAAAAGTCTTGCTATAATTATTTTCAAATGGAACTTTTCTTTCTGTCTTTAAGCTCTATGCCAGCTGTGGAATTCAATGAGTCAAAGAATATTAATAACTCACGTTTTTCATATTGCTGAGAGTCATAGATTTGGACCTTGAAGAGACCTTAAGTATCACTTAATCCAATTTCCACTCACTTTACTTTTTTTTTCTTTTTTCTTTTTTTATTAATTTATTTTGATTTATCAATAATCACTTCCATATACTTTTGAGTTTAAAGTTTTTCTCCCCCTTCCTCCCCACCACCCTCCCCAAGATGGCGCACAATCTGATATAGACTATACATTTACATTCATATTAAACATATTTTCACATTAGTAATGTTGTTAGTAAAAATTAAAACCAATAGGACGAACCATCAGAAAGAGGAAACAAAACTCAACAGAAGAGAAAAAAAAATAGCAATTCGACTTCCATAGTTCCTTCTTTGGATGTGTATAACATTTTCCATCACAAGGCCTCTGGAGATGTCTTAGATCCTTGTATTGCCAGGAAGGGTTAAGTTTATCAATATTAGTTATCACATAACGTGGCTGTTATTGTGTACAACGTTTTCTTGGTTCTGCTCACTTCACTCAGCATCAGACCATACAAGTCTTTCCAGGTTTTTCTGAAGTCAGCCTGTTCATCATTTCTTATAGCACAATAGTATTCCATCACATTCATATACCACAACTTGCTCAGCTATTCCCCAATTGATGGGCATCCTCTCAATTTCCAATTCTTTGCCACCACAAAAAGAGCTGCTAGGAATATTTTTGTACATGTAGATCCTTTTCCCATTTGTGTGATCTCTTTGGGATATAGCCCTAGAGGTGTTATTGCTGGGTCAAAGGGTATGCGCATTTTTATAGCCCTTTGGGCGTAGTTCCAAATTGCTCTCCATAATGGTTGAATAATTTCACAACTCCACCAATAATGCATTAGTGTTCCAATTTTCCCACATCTTCTCCAACATTTATCATTTTCCTGTTTTGTCATGTTGGCCATTCTGATAGGTGTGATGTGGTATCTCAGAGTTGTTTTGATTTGCATTTCTCTAATCAATAGTGATTTAGAGCATTTTTTCATATGACTATAGATGGCTTTAATTTCTTCATCTGAGAACTGTCTGTTCATATCCTTTCTCCATTTATCAATTGGAGAATGGCTTGTATTCTTGTAAATTTGACTTAATTCTCTATATATTTTAGAAATGAGGCCCTTATCAGAGAGACTGGTTATAAAAATTCTTTCTCAATTTTCTACCTTCTTTCTAATCTTAGTTGCATTGGCTTTGTTTGTGCAAAAACTTTTCAATTTAATATAATCAAAATTATCTATTTTGATTTTTGTAATGTTCTCTATCTCCTGTTTGGTCGTGAATTCTTCTGTTTTCCATAGATCTGACAGGTAAACTATTCCTTGCTCTCCCAGTTTGCTTATAGTATCAGCCTTTATATCTAAATCATGTACCCATTTTGACTTTATGTTGGTATATGGTATGAGATTTTGGTCTATGCCTAGTTTCTGCCATACTCTTTTCCATACTCTGCCATACTTTTCCCAGCAGTTTTTTTCAAAGAGTGGGTTCTTATCCACTCATTTTACTTTTTTTAAAAAAAATGTAAATAGCATTTTATTTTTTCCAATTATATGTAAAGACAATTTTCAGCATTCATTTTTTATAAGATTTTGAGTTCCAATTTTTTTTCTCCCTCTCTCCCTACCCTCCCCCCTCCAAGACAGCAAGCAATCTGATACAGGTTATACATGTGCAATCATGTGAAACATATTTCCACACTAATCATACTGCAAAAGAAGAAACGGAACAAAAGGGAAAAACACAAAAAAAGACCAAAGTGAAAATAATATGCTTCGATGTGCATTCAGACTCCAACGACAATTCTTTCTCTGGATTCCCATTTTACCAAAGAAAATCTCTGTCAAATGTGAACTCCATTAAAATGCAACCTGTAAGGAATGATCAAAGGAATGGTTTCTGAGAAACCTGGGGCAGATTGAAGTAAACAGAACCAGGAGAACAATTTATACAATGACAACAACATTGTAAAGACAAACAACTTTGAAATACTTAGTAAATGATCAATACCACATGCCACCACAACTCCAAAGGACTCATGAAAAAATAGTTATCTAACTCCAGATGGAGAAATGATGGAGTGCAGATTGAAGCATTTTTCCCTTTTAGTTTTCTTGTACTGCACACACACACACACACACACACACTCACACGGGTAATGTAGAAATATATTTTGCATGACATTATATATATAAATGGGTATCCTTCTGTATTTCTTAATGGTTGGGGGAGGGGCTTAGGGAGAGAAAGAATATAGAACTGAAAATTAAAAGAAAAATGTTAAAAAGAAAAAAAAAAGACTTAGGAATGCTAATCAGTATAATAACCAACCACAATTCCAGAGGACTGATGATGAAACATGCAATGTTGTGCTGGAATCAGCTTGAACTAGTTCTGGAGAATCAATTGTTAAATTTCCGGAGTAAGCATTTAAACTTCGGAAATTGGAAAACTTACAAATAAGAGCTTGATTTATTGTTTTGTTGATTGTCTAGACTTAAGAAAGTGATAGAGAAAATGTTAAGAATGAAAATTAAAATTAAAAGTGTGTGGTGAGAACCCCCTCCCCCAACCCAGATGTTAAACATTTACCAGGGCACCTCTGCATGCTTTCCACCTCCTGATGGAGAGGGGAAAGACTTAGTACAGAATGAGGTGTATGAATCTTTTAGTTGTGGTCAATGCAGAAATTTGTTTTGCTTGATTAAGCATGTTTGTAACAAACATGTTACAAAAGGTTTTGTTTTTCTTTCTTTCTCCATTGAGGAGGTGAGAGGGAGAGAGGGCAAATTTTTTGCCGATTAAAAAAATTATAATTAAAAAATAAAGGTAATAAAAATCAAGCAAAAAGAAAATGCAATTTACCTCCCTTCAAGGTGAGAGGTGAGCAGTTAGCCCAGAAGATGTCGGTTGGTTTAGTTGAACTGCTTTTTTTATTCTTTTAAAATTTTTGTTGGGGCAGCTAGGTGGCGCAATGGATAGAGCACCGGCTCTGAAGTCAGGAGGACCTGAGTTCAAATTCGGCCGCAGACCAAATACTTGACACTAGCTGTGTGACCCTGGGCAAGTCACTTAACCCCAATTGCCTAAAAACAAACAAAATTTTTGTTTGAGGGAATTGGGAAGCAGGGGAGAGATCTATTCCAAAATGAATGTGATGAAAAACAAAAGGTATCACTAAAAAGGGAATAAAAGAATTCCAAGCTCATGGAGGGCAGGAGCTTTCATTTTTGTTTTTGAACCCCCAGCATGACCTTGCATAGTAACCAGGCACGTGGTGGATACTTAAAAAGTGTTTGATGGATCAAAACTGACGCCCAGACAAAGAGTCACACATCAGAGCCATAACTCAAACCTGTTCTCTGGACACCGAACCTAGAGTGCTAACACTGATGAAATTGTACGTGAGGATGCCCTAAGGAGAAACCCTGGGCTTCAGCCTTAGCACAGGGGGAGGATTGGAGAGGGAAATGAAGAGAATCTCTTCTGGCAGAGATCGACTCTAGCGAGAATAACTTACTAACTCACAATGACCCTGTGAAATAGGGTGATGAAAAAAAGCACTGCACTAGGCAGAAACCTAGCCATCTCGAGCTGTGTGACTCACCTGGACCTTCATCTCTCTGAGCTTCAATCTCCTCATATGAAAAAAGGGTGATACTCCCAACCTCCTGGAGTTTGGTGGGGAGCAGAGGACTCTGTAGATATTAAAGTGCCACCAAAATGAGAATAATTGTTATCCCCATTTTGCAGATTAGAATATCAAGGCAGGGCTAACCCTCTGAGTACCCTACGATCCAATGACAGCGTAGCCTCCTCCTTGTTCTCTGCATTTCCCGACATGGGGCGTTTTCACTGGCTGTCCACTCCCTGGCAGACTCTTCCTTCTCTTCTCTGCCACCTGGCTTCTCTGGCTTCCTTCAGAATCCCACCTTCTACAAGAAGCCTTTCCTCATCTCCCTTGATTCTAGTGCCTTTCCTCTGTTGATTATTTCCAATTCATCTTATTTACTACATAACTTGTTGGTATGTAGTTCGTGTTACCACATCTACCACGGCGCCTGGGGACATGTCATTGTTCAGTTGTGTCCAACTCTTCATGACCCCATTTGGGGTTTTCTTGGCAGAGATACTGGAGTGTCTCTGTTTGCCATTTCCTTCTCCA